AACAATATGTGTACTGACTGTTTAATGAGAAACTATTTGTTCTGTAAACCTTCATCTAAAGTACAATAAAAAAATTTTTAAAAAAAGTTGTAAAATACAGAAAATCAGAAAAATATTACAGTTTCACAACTTGTTAACATCAACTTGTTGACAATGGCAAATTTCCCTCCAATTTTTAAAGGGTTGTACTGGAGAGAGAGCTCCTTAATTGAGATTTTGCTGTATATGTGTAAAAATGACTTTGGGGAGGTGTGTGACCTCCTCCAACCCCACAAGGGGGAACGAGAACCAAGATCAACGGCCCAGGGCTGATTCCTATGAGGCGGGTGTCAGACATGCTTCCTCTCTCCATCACCCTTACCAATTCTGACACCAACCGTCCCTCCCACAGCACTCTCTACTGGGTTCGATAATTCATTGCAATGGCCACACAGAACACTGTCTGTCTCTGTCTCTGTCTCTGTCTCTCTCTTTAACCCACGGGTAGTTTGGCCTCAGGAGTGGCTGAATCCAGCTCACACTTTCTCCACGTTGCAATTTCAACTTCCACTGTGTGAGCCTTTCTCTCTGCTAGCTCCCTGCTTATGGTGGCAAGTTGTTTGTCATCTTGTCCTCTCTCAGCAACAAATTTTTTTTACCCCAAGCAGTTCATATACAATTCTCAGAATTGAGCCTCACTGGCTCTGATTGGATCATAGTTCCATCCTAAGCCAATCTTTGTGGCCAGGCTTCAACTATATACTCTCTCCTGGATCCAGCCAATATGGCGGTCACCACTCAGAGGACATGGATTGAGAAAGGCAGAGGGTGGACAAGGTGCCATTACCAATAGAAGGAGGAGGGATGGATGGTGGCCTGCCAGAAAACAGTGACTTCCCCATACCTATTGTGTTGTATATAATGTTGTGAAGAGAAAAAGAAGTTAAGGTTGTACCACTATATAATCCCATTACCATAGAGAGGTGCCTGTTTCACTTATCTTCATGGACGTACGTACTGCATGGATGTGTAACTGTACAGGGAGAAGGCTTTAGTATGATTGTGATTTGGGAAGCTCAGCTAATTCATGCTGTTTTTCTTTTAGCTCTTCCTCCTCCAAGAAAGACACGAGCTGAGCTCATGAAGGCGATTGATTTTGAGTACTATGGTTACTTAGATGAAGACGATGGTGTTATTGTGCCTTTGGAACAGGAATACGAAAAGAAACGTAGGTCTCTGGGCATTACATGTTATTATAGATGACATCTGGTTTCGGTTCTGTCCTTTGAAAAAGGTGTGCTCTGCCAGAAGGGAGTTTTCTTTGTTAATGATCTTCAGAGTGTGTAGAGTTACTATCTCCCTCCTAACAGCTATGAGAAGAGCCCTCGTGGTGCAGTGGTTAAGCACTCAGCTGCTAACTGAAAGGTTGGCGGTTCGAACCCACTAGCCACTCTGCAGGAGAAAAGACCTGGCGATCTTCTCCTGTAAAGATTACAGCCTAGAAAGCTCTATGGGGCAGTTCTACTCTGTGCTTTAGGGTCACTATGATTTGGAATCAGCCTGACAGCACACAACAACTATGAGGCAGTCAGGGCTGTGTTGGGCCAGAAGCACATTGGGAAAGTACACACAGCTGCATCTTCCCTGGTCCCTGTCCCTCAGGAGTTCACCATTTAGAGCCTTTCCAGAGTGACCTTTCTCAGAATTGTAAAATGGTGCCCAGTTAAGTAGCTTTTAGATCTGCTTTAAATAGCCACAGAGCAACAGTGGGTGTCACTTTCTGAGTGCTTCCTGTATGTCAAGCAGTCTGCTGAGCTTTGATAGGTATTCTTCTGAGGCCTCACAACAACTCTGTGAGGAACAAGCTGTTGTTAGTCCCCAGCTTACCCATCCAGCTAGATTTGGCCGCTCTTTTCCAAAATACTCCACCTCTGCTCCTGTTTTCCAGTGGGCGTGTGGAACCCACTCAGATTGTTGAACTAGAGAGGACCTGGGGACCTTTCCTCAAAAACTGCCTTGTAGAAACGTAAAGCCAGGGCTGTTGTAAGACCAGACTGCCCCTCACATCCATTTCCCGCCTACCGGGGCAGAACGAAGGGTGTCCTGTCCAGGGAGGGCATCTTGGCTTTTCCCCGCATAGTGTTTGAATCTTTTTTAGAGACTGGAATAAGCAGCACCTGCTCCCCCTTGTCTTCAGTCAGAGCCGAATTAGTGGAAAAGTGGAAAACAGAGAGGGAAGCCCGGCTGGCAAGAGGAGAAAAAGAAGAGGAGGAGGAGGAGGAAGAAGAGATCAACATCTATGCTGTCAACGAGGAGGAGGTATGTCTTACTTCAGGAGAGTGAGGGGAGTGGCAGGAAGGAACTCAGCTGTCCTGTCTCCAGCCCAGTCCTCAGCTTGCTTGCCTGGAAGATGGGTATGAAAACCACCTCACAGGATTATAGGGAGGGTTTCAGAAAGGAGTGGCTGTGAGAGCATGTTGTAAACTGTGCATTACTCCAGGGATTATTTATTTAGTTATGAGAGACAGACCCTCCTGAGATACACTGGAATTGGATTTATAAACACATGATCTCATTGTTTCTTTTAAAATCGCAGTGCCCATAGCTCTTCTATTGTCTAGCATCTCCATTCTGCAGATAGGAAACAAGCCCAGAGCAGAGAAGTGGCTTCTTCAGAGGTTCATGGTCGGGGATGGAGCTATGATCCCAGCCTCTCAGGTGGTGCCCCCCAGCTCCTGGGTCTCCCGCCGTGCATAGCGTGTGCAGGCGTCCCTCCCAGACAGGCCCAGACCTGAACACACTTGCTAGTCTGAGAAAGAGGAGGGCAATCACCCATGTGCAGATGATGGGTCAGGCCCTGCATGAGAAGCTTGCTGAGACATCACTGATGAGGAAGCAGGCTCAGAGAGGTGTAATGAGTTTGTCAAGGTTACCCAGGATACAGAGAACCTAGGCCCATGCTCAGGTCTGGCTGACTAACGGGGGGATCGATGGAGGGTTGAAGCAGGATGGCAGCGTGCTCTAAGAAGATTTTCTCTACGTGCAGACACTCATTTGCTCGTTCAGCAGATACTTGTTTAATGAGTGGTACTGTGAGCTAGGCCAGGCCAGGTGCAGAGGGCCCAGCAATGAATGTGCTCCGCGTGAGCTCAGAGTCTGGGTGGGAGACACCCAGTCACACAGAGACAAGTGGGCAATGGCAGCCACAACAGCAACTGAGAGAGTGACATGGAGCTGAGGGAACCTCGAGGGCTTTTCTAGGGAAGCTACCCTCAGCTGAGATGTGGAAGATGGGGAGCGTTAGCTAAGTGGAGAGTGAGGGAAGAGAGTTCCAGGCAGAGGGAATGGTGAGTGCTGAGAATACTGTGGGAGCATGAGGGAAGGGAACAGGCTGGTGCATGGGGTGCTCTGTGTGAGAGGAGCCAGGGGCAAGGCAGGGGCAGGACCTGCAGGGCCTCGGACTCCACAGTGAAGAGGGTTTTTTCTTCATTATAGGAGCAATGGAAGGCACTGAAGGATTTGTATTTTTTTTACTTGTTATTTTGAAATAATTACAGATTTACAGGAAGTTGCCAAGATATTACATAGAGGTTCCATGTACATTTCACCCAAGTTTCCCCAGTGGTTACATATTACATAATTATACAGTGTCCACACCAGGAAATGGACATTAGTACAGTGTGTGTGTGTGTGTGTGTGTGTGTGTGTGTGTGTGTGTGGTTCTGTGCCATTTTATCATGTGTAAGATTCCTTAACAATCATCACAGTCAAAATACAGAACTATTCTGTCACCACAGAGATCTCCTGTTACCCCTTTATAGTCACCTCCCACCACCACCATCCCTAACCCGTGGCAACGAATGATCTCTTCTCCAACTCTGTAAACTTGTCATTTTGAGGATGGTATACAAATGGAATCAATGTAGTATGCCACCTTTCGAAGTTGGCCTTTACACTCAGCACCATGCCCTGGAGATCCACCCAGGTTGTGTCAGTCGCTCATCCCTTCTCATTGCCGAGCAGTAGTCCATGCACAGAAACGTCCTGTCATAAATGTGCAGGTCAGTGAACTGCACAAGGCACACACACCCACATAGCAAGTGCAGGGTGAAGGAACCACAGGGCCGGCCCCCAGGAGCTCTGTGCATGCCCCTCCTTAAGGGCCCTCCTGCCCCCAGGGTGCCACTCTCCTGGCCTTTAATAACCGGTTAGACTTAGCTGTTGTTTTGTTGTTTTTTAAATAATATTTTGTTGTGTTTTTGGTGAAAGTTCACACAGCAAATTAGGTTCCCATTTGACAATTTCTATACAAATTGTTCAGTGACATTAGTTACATTTTTCACAGTGTGTCAGCATTCTCTTTAATTGTGTTCTGGTTGTTCCGTTTCCAGTGCTCTAGTTGCCCTGCCCCCCTTGTCTTCTCATCTTTGCTTTAGAGTAATTGCTGCCCTTTTGGTCTCATATAGATGGTTTTTTAATGGAGCCCCGTACTCACGGGTAATATGCTTTACTTTGTGTGCCAATCTGTTATTTCACTAAAAGGTGACTTCAGGAATAGTTTTGGTTCAAAGTTTACAGAGATCTCAGAGCAATAGTCTCAAGGAATCCTCAAGTCTCAAATGGTCCAGTAAGTCTGGACTTTTTAAGAATTTGAATTCTGTTCTGTATTTTTCTCCCATTCTGTTAGGGTCCATCTATTGCAGACCTTATCAGAACAGTCGGTAGTGGTAGCTGGGCACCATCTAGTTCTTTTGGTCTCAGGGTAGAAGAGGCCGTGGCTTGTGTAGGTTATTAGCCCTGTAGACTAGTTTCATCTCTAAGACTTTGGTTTCCTTCTTTCTCTTTTGCTCCTGACGAGTAGAGACCAGTAGTTGCATCTTAGATGGTCGCTCACAAGCTTTTAAGACCCCAGACGTTACTAACCTCACTAGGATGCAGAACATGAACTTTGTGAACTATATATTATGCCAACTGACTGAGTGGTTCCATGAGACTAAGTCTTACCTGTTTTTGAACTTTATATATAAATGGGTTCGTGCATACTCTGTGTCTAATGTCCATGGGTCTTTGCTTAGTATTCAGGTTGGGGCTACTACAAATAGGGCTTCTGTAAACTTCCTTGTGAGTGGTTTTGGTCGACACATGCATTCATGTCTGTTGAGTATATACCAAGGTGTGCAATTACCAGATCATCAGGTAGGCATATAGTTAGCTTTAGTAGATATATTCAAACGGTTTTCCAAACTGCTTGTGCCAAGTTGCATTCCTACAAGCAGCATATGTGAGGTTCCCACCAGAGGGTTTTAACAGCCAGCTCCATTGGGGAGCTCTTGCGGAGAAGGGCTGTGCCAGGCCTCTGGCAGAAGGGCACCCAGCGGGCTCCAGCCTCTCATAGCAGTCCTCTTCTTTAGTATTTGGAAGTCCACATTATTTCCCGTGTTTACTAGTAACCTGTATTGACTCGTGTGTGGCCTGAGTTGATCTTTTTTCTATATGTGGCATATTTTTTAAATTTAATTTGAAAAAATAGGTAATACATTCACAAGGTTCAAAAACCAAAAAGTGTATAAAGATATTCAGCAGAATCTCATTCCCACCCTTCCCCATCTACCTTGTTGTAACTACTGTTAGTAGTTCCTATTCTCATTTTCTCTCCTTACACAAAAAGTAGCATGGTACTCTTAATAAAGTGTCTTGGCTATCTGTCTTTCCTAGTCCAGAGCTTCCTCATTCCTCTTTTTATTTTAAAACAGCTGCAGAGTAGTGCATTTCATAGAGGCAGCAACACTGATTTAACTGGTCTCCTATTAATGGACTTTGGGTTGTTCTCTGTTTGCAGTCTGATGAGGAAGGTGGACAGGAGAAAGGAGGTGAAGATGGGCAGCAGAAATTCATCGCTCACGTCCCAGTGCCATCACAGCAAGAGGTAGGAGGGGAACTGTGACCTGCCCTTTGAGGTGGAGCTTCCCAAGTGCCAGGGAGCAGACTCCAGGAAATACTTGAGTTGATTTTCTTCATCCTGCTCATTCGTTAGGGTGCTTCTGAATCCTGACCACGTGGCACTTGTCATTGTGGACTCCAGAAGAGGCCAGCAGCCTCTGCTTTAGATGAAGCCGACCAAGTATCCATTGGTTCCGATGTTTGCAGCAGGAGAAGGCTTGGAGAGGGGTTCCTTGGAGATCATCTGGGTTTTGAGGCAGACCCCTCCATGAGCTCCCCTCAGGCCCCCTTCTGGTGGGGTATGCAGTGGGGGGAAACGAAACATCAGCCATTTTCTCTTGATATCCACAGATTGAGGAGGCACTCGTACGAAGGAAGAAGATGGAACTCCTTCAGAAGTACGCAAGTGAGACCTTGCAGGCCCAGAGTGAAGAAGCCAAACGGCTCCTGGGATATTAGGGCCCAGCAGGGTGCTTATTGGGGTCCAGGAAGTCTTGAAGCAGTGCTTCCATCCCCTGCTGGCTGCATGTGTTAAGCTGTAGGACCACCACCCGCTTTGCCCTCTGCCCTCTGCCGTTGCGGGACTACAGTCAGGCAGGCAGGAAGCACGCTTCTTTACCCTTCCCTCTTCTCTCACCTTTTCCTTCCCTCATGCCCTGACCTGAGGATGGGGGTCTGTCTCTTGCTTCCTCCCTGGCGGATGTCTAGATGCTGAACATTTCAGCCAGCACCTTTGTACAAATATTTGCAACTGTATGAGTCTGTTCATGTTTACTCTGGAGCGTGTAAAACAGGTTCTTACTGGCTGCCTGTAAGGGTTTTACTTAGCCTTGTACTGTGATTTGGGGAGCGGGGAGTCAATTCCTGGCCAACATTAAAAAATGCAGTTTCCCTTAAAAACACATTTATAACTTCTCTTGAAATAGAGAAGATGTTCAACCCCTGCACCCACAGCCCCACTTGTTAGCAGTCAGCCAGAGCTGCCCCCTTGGGCCCTGTGTGCTCTGGGCCCTTCAGGGCTCCCTGGCCCCAGCCTCGCGCATTCCAGCCTGGAGGGAGGACTTTTGAGTTTGCTGCTTCTGTTTTATAACTTGTTGTGCAAGAGCTATTTTCATTAAAGATTTTTATATGACAGGAAACCTCCCTGTCTGCAGCTCTGTCCCTGGGCTAACTACTGAAGTTATGGTTGCATTCGACTGTGAGATTCAGAGGCCCCGAAATGGCCAGCTGTCCTGTTGTCCGGAGAGCTTCCAGAACACACAGTCCCAGGGTGTGGGGAGGGTGGGGGGCTGGGATCAAACTCTAGGCTCCACCTCGGAGCTGAGGTGGGGCAGACCCCATCCTCCCCACGGCCTCCATGGCCACAGCTGAGAACAGGCCAGCCACCGCACCTCACAGATCGGGGCCTTGCACGTCGATGTTTGAGAGCCACACATCACAGAGGAACAGGGAACACGAGGGAGCCCAAACCTCAAAGCTAAGCTGGGTCTTCTCCCAGGAGAGACCCTAGAGCAGAGACTACAGCACGGGGCAGTGCTGGCCAGGGCACTCACACTCGAGGGTCCTGGGGGCTCAGAATCAGACCACTGAGCATCCTTTGGGCTGGGGCTTCACTTGGGCTGTGTGAACGGGGCTCCTGGCCTGCAGATGCCATCACACACAGAGGCCAGGTGTGGTCAGAGAATGCCGCGTGCAGGGGGCTGAAGGCGGCCATGTCTCTTTAAGGAGGCCGAGGGCAGCAGGGAGCCCTGGAGAGGTTCTGAGCAAGGGAGCAGTGACCTAGTGGGTGTGTGATTTGCTCTGGAGACCAGAGGCTGGACCAGGCCAGGAGGAGGCAGCAAGGCGCAGGAGAGAGGTGGGGACTGAGGCGGCTGGTGAGGGGAAGGGAGGGGCAGTGGGACAGTGAGGAAGTGGGGAGAGAGAGGCAGTGGGGTGGTGAGGAAATGATTGCAGAGCCTCAAAGTCCTGTGAGGCTGGAGGTTCTGGAGAGGGGACAGGAGGGGAGGACCCCCCAGCAAATACCTGGGGGTGTGTACAGGGAGGAGGGAAGGATCGAGGCTGGAGGCAGGGCAGGTCAGGTCACCTCTGGGCTTCGTGAGGGTCTCAGGAGCAGACTTGGTGAGGGCTCGGAGCAAGTCCTTTCTGGGGCTCAGCCTTGGTCTCCTGTTTCTAAAGCCCAGGACCAGGCCTGGTGTCTCTGAGTTTGCCTAGGGTCCGGCAGTCCATGGTGTGGTCGAGGGCATCAGGGGCCTCGGAGACAGCCTGACCCTGTCCTAGCCTCTGGGGGCGTGTGGGACAGCTGGGTTCAGGCCCAGTGACCGGTTCTCCTTCCGAGGAGCCCATATGCTGCAGAGCCACCCTGCATTTCGATGAGATGAGAAGTCAAGTTAACAGGTCTGGTCAGCAAATGCCTGGGCCTGCGGCCTCTCAGTGGGGGGCTGTGGGTCTTCCTCACACAGTTGGCAGGTTCCACAGGCGCCAGGGACAGCCAAATGCAGGGGAGCTCCCTGGTCTAGCCTTCAGCTTTCAGAGCCCCCCACCCAGCATCTCATGAGGCTTCCAGGGTACAGGTGTGGGAATCTGCATCTTCCATCTGAGGACACCAGGCTCAGGGTGGAGAAGCAACCAGCTGGAGGTCACACAGGGTCCCTGCCTGGGCTTCTTCCTGCCCTCGGCCCTGTCTGCTCATCTGGGAGAGGGAAGGGCAGCAGGGCTTCTGCCAGGCCTGGAAAGCACAGTGAGGGTGTGACTCTGGTGCAGATGTGGTCACCTTGGCCCAGCCCACATTGCTCAGAGGCCACAGAACCCGTTCCAGGAGCTGTTTGGTTATCAAAATCTGTTGAACAGTTTATATTAGCTCTGGCGCTGCCAGCAGTTTCAGAAAGGAGACTTTTCCATGGATATATTTCCATAGACTTCCCTCCCTGTCCCACCCCAGCCCTCCCCATGTGAGCGTGAAACACCACAGTCTCCCTCCTGTTTTGCTTTAATCCCCATCACCAGCCCCACCCAGGCCTTAAGGCCCTGGTGGCTGACTGGTCACCTGGTGCTCCTCCCCCTGCAACCCAGCCCCCTGAACTCTACCCCGGACCCCACCTGCTCCTGCTTTTGAGCAATTTCTAAACTTGGAAGAGATGAAAACCTTTCCCCTCTTGCCTGAGAGGCCCTGGGCTTCTGGGAGAGGCCAAGCCTGGTACAGGGAAGGAAAAGAGCTGGTTTTGTTCTCTGTCTCACACACTTCCCCAGCCCCCTCATTCCCTGTAACCTGGGGCACTCAGGTAGCTCCTAGGGAGAAGGGGCATGAACATCTCACTGTCTCCTCCCAAAGCCCCAAGAGAAGACTGGGGGGTTTTCTCAAGCCCTTTGCATTTAATCTAGCAGAGCTAGAGCCTGCCTAGAGGGACCTGAGGCCTTCACCTGTCCAGCACCCACCCCCTTCAGGCATTCCCACACACACCTCTTCTCTAGCTCTCCTTCCCCCTCCCCCAGAAGGTAGACTGGGAAGGGCTTCTGGAGGGTTGACCTAGGACCTGTGGGGACTAGCAGGTGACCTGGACCTTGCTGGTATTGAATTCCTATGAGGCCCTTTGCTGCCACAGCTGGGAAGTGAGTTTGCGGGGGAGTGGAGGGGGCAAGAGGTAGTTGGAGAGGTGAGTTGGGGGAAAGCTGCAGAGGCCTTCAATTTGTGGGCTACCCTGAGGGTCTCGGGCTGGCTATTGAAGTGGCTAGACAGGGGAGTGACAGGACCTAGCTTGCTCTGTGAGATACTTTCTGGCAGGCTGTTTGGGGTTGGGGGTGTGGAGGGCTGGGTGGACTAGAGGCTGAGAAGCAGGAGGAAGCTGGGGCACCTCCAGGCAACAGCATTGGGTCTGGTCTGGAGTTGGTGGAGGTTGGAGTAGGGGTGCTGAGAGGGAGGTGACCCCATACTTTGAGCCAGACCTCGAGCAAGAGACTGGTACCATTCACGGAAGCAGGGAGGGCGGGAAACTTTTTTGGCTTTGCGTATGAAGTCTTGGGATTCTGGGGTGGGGGAGAGAGAATGCCTGTATTCCTGTGGGCTCTGGGGGAGCTGGGGGCATCTGTGGGGGCAGCCGGCCCCGCCTCAGCCAGCACCAGCCCCGAGCACCCAGGTCTGCCACAGCAGCCGCGTGTTTTTTCTTTATTGGCGCTTTTCATTTCTGATATTTTGCAGCAAGCACTCTTCTGTACCAAGAGCACAGGATATTATGGTTGGTGTCTGGTCTTCTTCATGGTGTTTTTTCAGCTTTATTTCTGATTGAGGGCACATTTTCAGCACTAGCCCACATAAAGAAAGCTTGGATGATACAGTAATGGTGATTGTAGAAAGAGGGGAAAAAAGAAGGAAAGAAGGGAGGGAGGGAGGAGAAAGGCAAGGCACCATGGTCACTGTAACCACCTGGAGACATTCTGATCCACAAAAGGTGGGGTTACAAGATAAACTTCCATTTACCAGCTAAGATGGTGCCACCATGTGGCAACAGCACAGTTTAAAATTCACAGCCCACCTGCCAGCCAGCTTTCCGCCTTGCTGCTGAGTCACTTCTGACTTTCGTAGTGACCCTACAGGACAGAGTAGAACTGCCCCATAGGGTTTCCAAGCCTGTAATCTTTACGAAAACAGACGGCCACATCTTTCTCCCACAGAGCGGCTTGTGGGTTTGAACCACTGACCTTTCAGTTAGCAGTCGAGTGCTTAACCACTGTGCCACCAGGGCTCCTTCGGCCAGCTTTAAGAATATTAACTTCTTGATACGTTGTTTAAAATTTGGGACTTGAATTTTTTTCAAACTTTGGTCATAAAGTGAGATATCATATATATCTTTGAATTGCTGCTTTTCAAATTAGCATAATGCAATTTCAAATAAAATGCCACTGTGCAATTCAGGAATTTACCACCAAAAAAGAGGAAATTATTATGCTATTTATTACTTTTTTCAGCAGCTTTATTGAGATATAATTTACATACAATAAAATCTACCTATTATAAGTGTCTAGCCCTCCACTGGTGCAGTGGTTAAGAGCTACAGCTGCTAACCAAAAGGCTTGCAGTTCGAATCCACTGGCTGCTCCTGGGAAACCCGGTGAGGCCCTTCTGCCCCGTCCTGAAGGGTCACTGTGAATCGGAATCAACTCGATGGCAATGAGTTGCTTTTTTTTTTTTTTTTTTGTTAATTGTAAGTGTATAATTCATTGATTTTAGTAAACTTCCTGAGTTGTGCAACCATCACCACAATCCAGTTTTAGAATATTTCGATACTCTAAACCCCTAGTTCCCTTGTGCCATTTACACTTAATGTCTGCTTCCACCCAGGGCCCTGGGAGGTCACTGATCTGCTTTCTGTCTCTATAAATCTAATACAGGTATTTTTGTTTGTTTAGTTTTTTATAATTTATTTTTGTTGTTGTTGTTGAGACTATACACAGCAGAACATAACACCAGTTCAACTATTTCTACATGTACAATTCAGTAACTGATTACATTCTTCAATTTCTGCAACCATTCTCACCCTCTTCTGAGTTGTTCCTCTCCCATTAACATAAACTCACTGCCCCCTAAGTTTCCTATCTAACCTTTTGAGTTGCTGTTGTCATTTTGATCCTATAAAGATAGATCTTGAAAGAGCATAATGCTCAAGGCAGACATTCTTTACCAGTTAAGCTAACCTATTGTTTGGTTTTAAGAAGACTTCAGGGGCTGTTTTTGGTTTAAGGTTTAAGTTTAAAGATTCTCTCAGGGCAGTAGTTGCAGGGGTTCACCCAGCCTCCGTGGCTCCAGAAAGTCTGGAGTCCATGTAATGCAGGTATTTTTAAGTCTAGTCTGTACATCAGCCTTCTTGCTCCTCCCCAAGGCCCTCCTTCATCACCACCCACCCAGCCCTGGCCACGCTGAGCCTTATGGTGAAAGAACAGGCCTTTCCCCCCTTTCTGCTTACAAACATGCATGCTTCTTTCAAGGCAAGTTCAAACGTTTCTTCCCTGTGGAGATCTCCCTGCCTGCCCCTGGCAGAGTGAGTGAGTGGAGCCCTCTTTCATGTGCCCACTGCACTTGGCACCGATCACATCCTTCTCCCCGGACCCCTCAACTCCCTCCATGTCAGTGCCTCCACAGCC